CTTCTACTGCGTGACTGACAGCCTTGAGTTTGAAATCCTCTTTATGGCCCTTATACACACACAATACGGTAATATTACGTTGAAGCACAGTACGTATCACTCCGCGAGGCTCCAGACTAAGGTAGCCGTAATGCTCCGACAATCCATCAAGCGCTGCAGCTCCGTAGCTTACCAAAGTCGTACTAAAACATTTTTCTAGACAGATTGCTGAGCGCCGTGTACCACATAAAATCAGTTCGCGGTCAGTAAGCACAACCAGAATTCATACATAAGGCGCGCTGTCAACTTTTGAGAAAATGAAAGGATTTTAAGCCGTGCAACCCCTGTGGGCTGCATGTCGTTAGCGCAGTTAGCTCAGTAGCGCGGTTAGCTCGCTAACACGTTGACGCCGTCCAGCCCCACAACTCGCTAACGGAGATTTGCCGTGTCCATCTTGTCGCTGCCTGCAGGTGAAGCTATGGGGGAGGAGGAGGAGTTGTGTTCAGTGAAGGAGACAGACAAAAGTGGGCGAAAGAGAGGCAAACTTGTGGCTCCACAAGTATAATTATAACGTAACATAGACTATATCGATATAAAGGATATTGTCACATCTTATATCTCGTATGAAAATATATCGATATTTTTTTTAAAACTCGATATATCGCCCAGCCCTACTTGCCTGTCATTGCTTCTGGATGGGTTGTGAGCTCTGATAATTCAGACAAAAACAGAAAAACATTGGTGCTTATCAGCCACAGGTCCCCACAGCACTACGCTCGCTAATCACAAGCTTTCAGTCTATGAACGTCTGTATGTCACTCTCATCACCTTTATAAAACTGTAAAAATGAAAGCGGAGTCTCCTTTTAGTGCTTCACAAGGTAGTTATAGTTGAAGCGTGTTAAACCTGTTGATAAGGATGCAGACTAAATTGCCCAAATGACAGAAATGAACCTACACAAGCCCTAATAGTCCTGATCGAAACTTAAAGACCACTTGAAAAATGCCAAAAAATCATATTTGCATGGTTGGATCTTAACATGGTTCCAAGTAGAGCTTCAACATGCAACAAGAAGAAATGAGAGTGAGACAAGACATTTTTTTGAGCATCCAATTTATTGAAAACAACACTTAAACTGAAACAGGCTGTTTTACAGCTGATCAAAAGTTTAGGACCCCATGCCTTTAAAAGGCCAAATCTGTGCAGAAATGTGCATTTCATTGTCACTTTCAGTCATGACGTTCTGATGGCAAAGGAAAAAAACGTTCCCTTTTTCAATGTTTTCGGGTTGTTGAACTGCCTAAGGAGGGTCTCTCGCAGTGCGCCATCGCTGTTGAGGTGGGGCGCAGTAGACAGTCATGTGGAATTTCTTAAATGATCCTGAGGGTTATGGAACAGGACTGTGATCAGGACTGTATGAACACATGAAATCATCATATAGTGGCATGCTTCACTACAGCAGTCCATGTTACTAGTATTGTGTATTAGGGTTGGGCGATATGTAAAAATTTTCCAACCAATAATTGACGACGGGCGATACATTTGCGCATGCGCAGACTTTTTGATAGGCGGAGCAATGTAATCATGCACGGACTGATTTGCGCGTTTACAACACGGGAGTCCAAACATGGACAACTAATTTCTCCAAAAAATTAGGGCTGTCAGCGTTAACGCGGTCATCACCATTAAAATTTTTAACACGCTCAATCCATCTGGAGCGCAGAATGAACAAACTTTGGACAAACTGCCCAAAATGCGTTGCGTTTCGGGAATTTTGACTCAGCCTGCACTCCAGATGGGTTAATTGTTAATCGCGTTAGTCATGATGACGGCACGTTAACGCTGAAATCACTGAAATAAATATCAAGTTGCCCATTTGGGATGAAAGGGGTAAACTTAAGGATGTAACCAAAGTGGTGTGCCGCTTGTGCAGAGCAAAGTACTCAAACACAACTTGCATGAGCACGTACATGTGCATGAGCATGTCATGCACATGTCCACTATCCGGCTGAGTATGCTAGGCTATCACCAGCTTCTGCAGCTCCATCAACAAGCATTTGGGTGCACTCTGAGGAGGGTGAATTTGCTCGCAGATGAAAGAGGGTGCCGTTAAAACAACGCTTTTGGTTTTTTGGGGGGTTTTTTGGGGTTTTTTTGCTGTTGACTGCTTCTATTAACGCCATCATTATTAGCAAACTTACTCATGGACAAATAAATAAATAAATCACAAAAACGATTGCTGATGGGCTCAGCCTATCGTCGATAGTCAATATATTCGTCCAATCACCCAACCCTATTGTATATTAGTAATGCAAATATACAATAGCCCCATTCAGGGCTGACATTGGTCACAGTTCTTCTTCTTCATCGTAGTCTTTCAAAAGACAGTTATTAAAATTATTATTGTGATCATTTTTACTACGTTTGCAACCATACAGGAAGTTAACATCTCACTTTGTGAAACGTTTAATATAAACAACTAAATGACAAAAACTAGATTCTGAATTCTTGTTTTCAGACTAAGAAAAAATAAGATGAATCATAAGGGTTCAGTTTAGGGCAATCGTGGCTCAAGAGTTGGGTGTTCGTCTTGTAATCGGAAGGT